GCAGTACTTGGTGTTGCTTTGATGGCTTTTGGGAAGTATATGTAAAAGCCCACTTCGACGCAAATACTCATACTCATCAACAGCTACTAAAGTCGAAATTATAATCCATTTTATAGAAAACGTGAACAAAGCTACATGGAGTATTAAGTTAGAACGTCTAATGTATTGTTGGCAAGGTGTCATTGATAAAGGTGTAAACTGAAGCTATGGATAATAATTATAATTAAACATGTTTCTTAAAGTTAATGGCTAGTTATTTCTAAGCGTTAGTGGTATGTGCTACAGACTAAAACATGTAACAACGTTTTACAACATTTTAATTAAAAATAAAAAACTTCGATGAATCCTACAACAAAATTATTAATTAATACTAATCCATAGTAAAATCCCTGTAACTTTAAATATCCCTTCTTTTCGCGTCACATTTGTAAATGATTGAGAAAACAAGTATTCAACACAAAGTCCTCTCTATTAAAAAATAAATGACTTTTTGCTTCCAGTTATTTAATAACAATCTACGACCTAACAGGCAGTTGTGAAAACTTTAATTTAAATAAAGCTATTAAAGTCGATGTTCTATGTCGTTTTAATTACTGTCTTATAAATTTTTAAAAACTCTACAAACTATTGTTGTTCTTCAATGATGGAATATCATCCTCTAATGCTAATGCCAGTAGGATTCTATGCTAAACAAGCAATTAATCCATGAAGAAGTCATAAAGCAGATGCCAAAAAAATTCCCAGCCTCACATGAATTCAATTTTTAGAGTACTCCCATCTGCTATTGTGCTGCCCCCCAGTGGCACAGCGGCATGTCTGCGGACTTTCAACGCTAGAAACCGGGTTTCAGTACTCGTGGTGGGCAGAGCACAGATAGCCCATTATGTAGCTTTGTGCTTAACTTCAAACAAACTATTGTGCTTAGATTCTATTAACACAATACGGACGGGTCACGAGTTTACTCGTGTTTCGTGCAGAGCGTTTTTGTGTGCCATTTATTAAAAATTTGCGTTCGAAATGAGTCGGACACGTTATTTTTTGTTCCGGGCGCTTATTATTTATCTGATTTTTGCTTACAATACCCATATTTTTATAAATGGCTTCTCGCAAAAAACGTAATATGTTGAGTAAAGATGAAGATTCTAATGTGGATCATTCTGATAGTGACTCTAGCTACAGTGACGTTGTTACATCTACAAAGATACGTAACGTTGTTGTACTCTCAACTAATTCTGAATTACAAAGTGGTGGTGATTCTACAAATGTTCCTGTTACTGATTTGTTTTCCCGTTGTGATAATGATAATTGGTCAGAAATAGATATTCCACCGAACTTGGACATATTTGAAGGAAATTCAGAGGTCACTATAGCTCCATCCAAACCCGAAAATGTTGCTGCCATGACAAGTCTAATGTTCGGTGATGACTTGTTTGAAATGTTTTGTCAGGAAATGTGTACTTAACGTAATCAAACTGCAGAGAAACATAAAATGTAATCTAAAGGACTTTAATGGTCTGAAGTTACACCTACAGACATGAGGAAATTTCTAGGCCTTATTCTACTAATGGGACAGACAAGAAAATATAACTGGAAAGATTATTGGTCAACAGATCCTCCTTTGGTTAGCCCAATATTTTCGCAGACAATGAGCCGAAATAGATTTGAACAAAGTTGGACATTTTGGCATTTCAATGATAATCAGAAAATGGATGAGTCTTCAGACAGGCTCTTCAAAATTCAACCAGTACTGTATTATTTCCTCAATATACAAACCAAAAGAACAGTTGTCATTGGATGAGGGCATGATTCCATGGAGAGTACGTCTAGGATTCCGAACATACAACCCTGCAAAAATTGTAAAATATAGCCTGCTGGTGAGAATGGTGTGTGAGAGTGACACAGGTTATATTTGCAACAAGATTTATACTGGTTAGGAGAAAAAATTGGAGGAGAATATTCTTTCAGTTCTTGCTCCCAATCTAGGATTGTGGCACAACATGTACCAAGACAATTATTACAACATTCCTAACCTGTTCCTAGAACATAAAACAAGAGTCTTTGGGACAATCAGAGTTAACAGATGGTTGCCCCCCAAGGCTGAAGTTTCAACAATGAAAAAAGGTGATACAGTTTTCCGTAGAAAAGATGATGTTCTTGTTTTCATATGGAAAGACAAGAGAGAAGTGAGAATGGTTTCAACCATCCATGATTCATCTGTTTCTACCACAGCAAAGAAAAATAGAAGAATTGGAGAACAAACAAAAAAAAACCCTGTGTGTGTTCTCCAATACAATGTCCACATGAAAAGTGTTGATTGTGTAAATCAGTACCTCTCATACTACACCATTCTCAGAAGAACAGTAAAATGGACAAAAATGGGTAGTACTTTATCTGATAAATTGCAGCCTTTTCAATTCATATATCATCTACAAAGCCCTAAATCAACAGAAAAAAATAAAATAAGCAGTTCCTCCTCTCTGTGGCAAGAGAATGGATTACTGTAAACGAGAAAGAAGGCTCAATGGAACTAGATAGGTGCGAACCCGATCCATCATCTGATAGTACAAGGAGAGCTCCACATAAGGATCCTCCAGGTAGACTGTGTGGTGACATGAAGCAGTATCTTGCTGCGTGTGTTCACCTAAACGAAAAAGAAATGTCCCACCAGAGCTTGCAGCCCATGGGAAAAGAAGTGAAATGTGATACATATGAAAGTTTTGTGCGGTTCCACACCATATAGGAAAATGTTTTACGAGATACCACAATTTAAAAATTTGCTAGGTGTTTTCATGTACATGTAAATATTAAAAAATGTAGTTGATTTTTGAACAAAATAAAATGCGTTTGACTCCTTTCAAACTCAACGTTTTAACAAATGGCACACAAAGATGCTTTGCACGAAACACCTGTAAACTCGTAACCCGTCCGCAATGTGTTAATATAAAGGTTGTCTCTCTTGGTCCTGTAATCCAGAATGCTGTCTTACTTACAAGAATGGAACGCATTGTAAACCTTGTTCAGTTTATATATACAAGGTTTCCCATGCTGTTGAACATAAATCATAAAAGCACACAAAACCACTCAATTAAAAATCGTATATTTATGAGGTTTATCATATCCTTTTTTTATGCATTACCTTAAATTGCATTTGCTGTATATCCTATTATCCTTCCCACTCTTCAGAAGTGTGTAAAACGAAACTCAAACTTAGGGTACCTCCTTGTGACATATGACAGACCATGGTCAAAAAAGGAGTCTTGCATGTTAAAGGAGCTTAATCACTTACAGGTGTATTAACAATACTAAGAAATGTAGCAGAACACTGCAATAGATTACAGGACAACATTCAATCTATGACAGAACTTGAAACTAACAGCTAGTGTTTGTGTTCTGTAAATAATTATACTCAATTTCATAAATGTTATTTTCATTAACAGTGTTAATTAAAAACTTTTGAATGTTTAAAATATCTAGTTTTGTTATTATTTATCATTATACTTTCATTATAGTGATTGTTTTACATTGTTAGCCTGGTATACAGACTTAGAATTAACCCAAATCTTCTAAGCTGGCTGAACCTTGTTAAATGTTTACAGCTTAAAATATCATTAACAGTGAGGGTACCCAACTGGTGAGACAATCCATTCTAGCTTTTAAAGAAAGAAAAGTATATATAATTAGCTATACTCATAAACAGGTTAATTTTTAGTTTTGCTCTAATAAGCAGTTTGCTCTGATCAAATGTGAATATTAATTCACAAAGCATTAACCTCTGTTTGTGAAACATGTTTAAAAGCTCGAATTCCGTAAATTTAGTAAAAAATTGCTAATGTTTGTACCCGTAACGAATTTATGTATTTATTTTAATATCAACGTTGTTTAGATTAAGTTTATATTTAAAAACATGCATAGCTTATACTGTTAGATATGTATTGCA